ACCCATCCTCTCCTCACACCCCACCCAGAGACACACTGCCTCCTCTTTCATTTCTCTAGGCCTGGCCCATTTTCTCATCCTCGGCCTGGCCTCCTTTTTTCTAAAGCTGCAGTGTATGGCTTTTTCAGTAGGTGGCAGCACGTACAGCACAAATCACACAAAATGCAGCTTCTATACTTACAAATTTCCTCCACAGAAAGAAAAACACCAGAGATCACATCCCATCCTCTTCCATAGTTATCATTTACCCTCATATCATACGCTGCCATCAGAGACACATCCATACAAAGCTCCCTTGGCTTTTGCTGAGCAACTCTGGGCCTTAATCCTTCCTCCAGGACCCCATCTAGGCCCCTCCCCTTCCCCCTCCCCTTGAACTTTGTCCTTCTTACAGGCCAGGCAGGGGTCCAGAGTCCGCGCTTGACTCATCCCCCACTTCACTGGGCTGAGGTCTCAGCTCCGTCACAGAAAACATCAGCACTTCAGCCCAGCACAGCGAAGAAGTACCCAACCCAGAACTCTGCTCCTCTTTCCCTCCACCATGGAGTACCTCTCTGCTCTGAACCCCAGCGGCCTGCTCAGGTGATTTCTAATCTTCCTCTCCACTCTCCAACTCTGGGGATAAGGGTAGGGCAACAAAACTCCATTCAGCCCCTAGGAAACTCATGAACCCATACCCCTTCCCCTCCCCATTCCTACTTTCCACAGTGGGCTTGTCAGCTCCTGAACCTCGCCCCCCACTCCCACCCCAGGGTCACTCCCATTCTCCCTAGGATACTCTAATCTGAAAACCTAGATCCCTCCCTTACTCTCCAGCTACCCTACCCCCATCATCCCTATCGCACTAAGCAAACCCCTCGTTCCTTTCTTCCCAACTACCAGGTCTGTATCTAATATGAGCTCCGAGTTTGGTCGTAGGGTCTGGATCTCAGCTCCACCACCCCAGCGACCTTTCCGAGTCTGTGATCACAAGCGGACCACCAGGAAAGGTCTGACAGCTGCCACCCTCCAGGAACTGCTAGACAAGGTGAGTGAGCCAAGTCCTTGGGTTCCTATTGCAGGGACAGCCAAGGAACTTGAGAAGAGTGAGAGCTTGGAATGGCCAGCAGAAAAGGCTGAGGTTACATGCTTGTCCCTCCCTCTGAGGACTAAAAGCAGGGGGGTAAGCTCAATGACCTCTACTGCATTTGGGTCAATCTATTTTTTTCCATGGAGTGGGCTTTTCTTTGGGGATAGGGGAGGGAGAGTTGGAAGGATAGAATTCAGAAGTGAGTATAGAATAACAATTTGTGTGATCAATCTAGGTCAAATCCTGATTCTGCCATTTCTTAGTGTCAAATCTTGGGAAGTGATTTAACCAATCAAAACATCAATTTCTTCATCTATAAAAAGAGAATGATCACATACCTCCTAGGGTTGTTGAAAGGAGTAAAAGAGGATAATGTATGTAAAGTGCTACATAGATAGGGGGCACTAGTGAAGACTCAAAAAAAGTTGTCATTATTACTGAAAACAGTTCTGAAGAACTCTATGAGAGGGGGAGAGTGAGGTGGGACATTGGAGAGAAGAGTCCATGTCAGGCCCCATCAGCATAATGCCTTATACCCCTAGCCTATGCCCATTCATGAAGGATGGACTTCAAGAGAACTTGACTAGCTTTTTAATTCCAAACCAAGAGTGACTTGGAGGGAAACAGGGGGAGATGACAATGACATGGTAGGAGCAAAGCAGGAGCAAATAGGAAAGAAGGTTAGCCCCTAGTGAGGGTCCCTCAACAACTGAAGAACTGAATGGATGGCAAAGCACCAAGAAGTAGAGTTAGGTTATCAACCAGTGTTTTGGGCCAACTGAGAAGAAGGGGCATGGGACAAGCTCTGCCATTTCCCTCCTGCTTCTTGCCACTGAGCAGGCACTGGAGACCTTGCTGCTGAGTGGAGTGCTAACTCTGGTGCTAGAGGAGGATGGGACTGCCGTGGAGAGCGAGGACTTCTTCCAGCTGTTGGAGGATGACACATGCCTGATGGTGCTGGAGTCCGGGCAGAGCTGGAGTCCCAGCAGGGTGAGAGGCTGGTACTGGGGCTGCTATAGGCCACTGATCCTTTATATCTCTCCCAAGCCTCTTCTCTTGCCTGCCCTTGATCTTAGGGGCAGAGGTAATGAGAGAGGTGTGTTGTCAAGGACACCTTATAGTGGACGAACCATCCAGGCAAGGGTGGGTCGGTCCCAGTGCTGATGGGGATTAGTGGTGGATGTCAGTAGGTGAGGATCCATAGCAGTCATGGGGTACCCTACAGAGTGGGGTGCTGTTATATGGCCTGGGCCGGGAGAAACCGAAATACAGCAAGGACATCGCCAGAATCACCTTTGATATGTACAAGCAAAACCCTCGAGACCTCTTTGGGAGCCTGAACATCCAAGCCACATTCTACGGGCTCTACTCCATGAGTTGTGACATTCAAGGACTTGGTCCAAAGAAAGTACTCAGGTCAGAAACCAAAATGTTTTACTTCCCCCTTCCAACAGCTTCAGTCCCAAATTCCTTCTCCAGCACTCACCTGCGCTCACCTTCTCTGTTAGCTCTGCCTTGTGAAGAGCCCCCACCCCCAGCTCTATGGCTTCCTCCCAGCCATCTGCCTGCCTCATCTCTGCCCTTCAGGGAGCTCCTCCGATGGACCTCCACACTGCTGCAAGGCCTGGGCCACATGTTGCTGGGAATTTCCTCCACCCTTCGCCATGTAGTGGAAGGGGCTGGGCAGTGGCAGCAGGGTCGCCTTCATCCCTACTAAGAACTCTGAACTTCTGCTCCTAGACTTATTCCAAGACACAGCTGTAAGGACTGTGACAGCATCAGGTTTGTAGACTGCAGACAGTACAGACTAGATAATTCACCTTGTTTCCCCATTGTCCTCTAACCCCATCAGCATTATGCCTTACACCCCTAGCGTATACCCATTCCTGAAGAATGCCGTCTCCTCCTAGCCATCTTTCCAGCCTCTCACCTACCCTGAAAGCCCGCAAGCCTGTCCCAGGCATCTTGATCCCACCCTGATTGCTGCTACATCTAGATGTCCTTACAGTCCTCCTGTCCCTGAGCTCTCCAGCCCTCTTGTATTTTGCCTTGAGATCTCTATTTCTTTGTACTCTTCCCCTAAGAAAACCAAAGACATTTTCAATAAAAATATAAAAATGTTTACTAATAAGACTTTTGACTCCAATTTAAACCAGGAAGGGGATAAAATAGATACTCCCTTTCCCCCTCCCCCATCAACACCCAGTCCCGGATCCCAAGGCCTCAGTCCTCAAGTATTGAGTTCAAAATCCGCCTCCGCTTGGCCACCGCCCCCTGCTGCTGTTCCCAAGCTTCTCGTCGCTTCAAGAAGGTAGTCAGGGCCACATTTCGAGCCACGTGGTGGCCAAAAGGATCTTTTATCAGCTCCTGGTTCCGCTCCCCTGCAAAGAACAACATTCATGTTCAGTATCAATATGTGATCATTCACCCATGTTTAAAGAGACTCTACTTGGGTGAACGGTCCTCCATTTTCCCTGGACCCTGGGTCTGCCTCAGGATAGTGAACCCCCCACAATCCCCAAAACAGAAGCTGGGTGGAGGGGTAGGAGCACAAGGCTGCACAGAGGGGAAGGGAAGAGCAGACTGCTGAGCACCATGGCCAAAACCACCCTTTGCATTGAAGTTTCCGCTGAATTTAAATCCACTCCCCAACCACCCAGCTATCTGAAGTGAAGGAATGGAAGGTCTGGAAAGGCCAAAGAGACATCCTGGTACTCACCCAGCTCAGCAGCAATTTCCTTCCGGGCCCCCAAGGCTGCTCCACCCCAGATGACATCTAGCACACGGCTGCCATGGCGACTGCAAGCCAGAGCCACATATTGTCCCTGCATTGAGACAAACAAGGTAGGTCCCTCTAGGGCAATCCATGAAAGTGTGCTGGGGAGAGTAGTTGCGGGGTGGGGGGAAGTGAAGTTTCAGAAGTTTAGAGGCTGAGTTGAAAGAGCCTAGAAACCACATATCCTCTCTCTGACTCTGAAGTCCTGGGGGAAGCTCATGTTCTCTACATGGATAATGGCAAAGGAGTGAAAGCAGAAACCAGAAGTCTAACCTTTAGGGTCTTCAGCACACGGCGGCGCTGCTTGTGCGTCACGGAGGGACTGGTCAGGATGGCATCAAGCACATGGGAACCAGAAGGGCTTTGGGCCAGAGTCAGAAGTTGTGGTCCTGTCAAGGCACCCAGACTTCGAAGTATAAGGCCAGGAGCAGAGAAATGTAATAGATGCTGGAGCAGTAGAGACCCAAGGACTGACACTTCCCCTAGGGCCCTGGCTGTGGCCATTTCAACCTGGGAGGACAGAGAAAGGATATTAGGAGGCAGTCACCAAACTGCCACCTCCTCTTGGATGAAGCCAGAGATCTCACCACCCTCACCTCAGTAATGAGAGGCTTCCTAAGCCCAGGGAGGCCCGGTTCCCAATCAGTCACTGGCTTGACCTCTCCCCTACCTCACCTGGTGCTCTGCAGGCACTGTCCCCTCCTCCTCTACTAGTCCATAGTACACCTCGTAAGCCATCAAAGTGGCAAAGAGAGGCACGCAGGCCACTTGCCGGGAAGAGGGCTCTGCACAGTGGAATGCCTAGAAGACAAAATATAATGAATCTGAGAACTACCTCATCTTTAACCCCGACTTTCTAGATAGGGGAAAGCATCAGGAACAGCAG